CTACATGACACAAACCAAAACCATAACCAAAACACAACACAACCTGTTTACAAAAAACATGTTGGTTGCATAGATCCCTGGATCAGTCACCAGCCAAAACTAGAGACTGCAGTCAAGACATCAAAAGAATTGTATTAATCAAGAAATTGGTTTAATTTAAATCTTATCTCTCTCCTGGCACAGGACTCAAGGCAGCTTGCAACAAATTAAAACAAAATAGAACAAGATTTGGAAGGGTAGTTAGATAAGAAACTAGAGAAGACCCTCAAGTGTAAAGATATGTAATTGAAGACCAAAGTTGGGATTGTCCATGCTTTTTGTATTTCCAGTTTCTATGTACAGCTGTGAAAGCAGGACACTGAAGAAAGCTGAAAAGAAAGAAAATCAACATTTTGGAAATGTGGTGTTGGAGGAGAATTCTGCAGATTCTGCATGGGCTCAAAGACAACAAAAGATAATTGGGTTCAAGCGCAAATCAAGTCAGAACTCTCACTAGAAGCCAAGATGACTTGGTTGTACTTTGGGCATATCATGATGTGATGTGACTCACTGGAAGAAACAATAATGCTTGGTAAAATGAAAGGAGAAAGACTGCACGGTGCAGTGATTTGAGCATTGCACCATGATTCTGGAGATCAAGGTTCAGATTCCCACTCAGCCTTGAAAAAAACCCACAGTGTGACATTGGGAAAGTTACACTTTCTCAGGCTCAGAGGAAAGCAACTGTAAATCCCTTCTGAATTTTACTAAGAAAACCCCATGATAACTTCACTTTAGTGCCACCTTAAGGCATATAACAACTACAAAGTGGAAGGTGGTTGGAAAAAAGGAAGTCCACGCTACAGGAGGATTGAGTCCACCAAGGAGTTTGCAAGATCTGAGCAGGGCTGTTGATGTCTGGGGCTTTTGGAGATTCTCATTCATAGGATCGCCATATGTCTACATCAATGTGACCGCAAAAAAACAACCATAAATGATGCTGGTGGTATTGATGAGGACGAGGATGGGGATGATTGTGGAAAGAAAAGGAAAGTTTGGAGAATTAATTGTGTAGACAACCCCAACGAGATGGAAAAGATTGCAAAATACTGAGACCTTTTTGAAGCCAACTTCATGACAGATAACAACAACAACAACAACAACATTCTGTGTCTAACAATCCCCCAGAACATTTTGCCAAGCATGAACACTGGGAGAAAAATATGAGACATGTGGCAGTTCCCCTGTAAAATGTACAAGTAAGGAACTGTATCCTTGGTTGAACTCCTATGCAGCGGTGGAAGGGTGCCATCTCATTAGTGAATTGTGGCATTGTGCAACCAATGCAACCATACATGATGCACATGTGCAAGGCAGACTCATAAGTAATGGCACAGCATGTGCAAGTCTACTTTCACAAGATCAAATTAGTCTACTTTGGACAAAAGTGTCCGACTGCTTCCATATGGACACTGCTGTTGATTTGTTGTTAACTGTCCTCTAGTTGGTCCTGACTCATGGTAACCCTGTGAATGAGACATCTCCAAGACTCCCTGTCCTCCATTGCTCTGCTTAAGTCCTGTAAGTTCATACCTGTGACCTCCCTAACTGAATCCATCCATCTAGCATGCAGCCTTCCTCTCTTTCTACTTCCCTCCATCTTTGCTAGCATTATTGTCTTTTCCAATGAATCCAGCCTTCTCATGATGAGGCCAAAGTACAGCAGCCTCAGTTTTGGCTTCCAGGGAGAGTTCAGGCTTGATCTATTCAAGGACCCATTTGTTTGTCTTTTTGGCTGTCTATGATATCCTCAGCATTCTTCTCCAGCATTACATCTTAAATGAGTTGATTTTCTTCTTATCCGCTTTCTTCACTGTCTAGTTCTCACATCCGTACATGGGGATGGGGAATGACCATGCCCTATGAAGAGAGACTTAGGGAGCTGGTAATGTTTAGCCTGGAAAAGAGATGGTTAAGAGGTGATATGATAGCCCTG